TTGCAAGTGACAATTCGCCTTAATGTTATGTCCCTTTCTTGAACGATTCGCCAACTGATCAAACCTACTACTAGCTACTCTTGCACGAGATGCTATAAACTGAGTGACCTCGTCAAACGTTGGTTCTCTATCATCTTCAGTCGATTTATCCACCACGTTCGCCCACTGAGCTTGCATAGATTGAGGCAAAAGCCTTAATATTCTCTCTAAGTTAATTAAAGAATTTAAATCGGCTGTATACTTCATATGTTTCAAGACCATGGAACAATTTCCCATTCTTATAGCTAGGTTTGACAGCTGCTCCGGACCACTGTAATCAACATTTGCAGGTTTGAATAAGTCTTCTAAAGTTTTTCGAGCAATCACATGTGCCTGTCCAAACAACCGTTTTAGAATTTCCTTGGCCTTCTTGTAGCCAGAAGAGGCATCCAACATAACATGCCCCCCAATGGCTGTTTTTGCTCTACCCTTAAAATAATGTATCAAATGAAGCAGGCGTTGACTATCATCCATGACCCTTGATTCTACGTAGGTCTCAAACTCTCTCAAAAACTTCCAGTAACCTCTTGGTTGTCCGTCGACATAACTGAATTCAGCCTTTGGTAATTCCATACCTAGAAAATTACCAATCACTACAAATAATTGTTGTTCTATCCTGGACCGATGCACATATGTGCCTGGTCCTACGTTGTAGCTGACTGACTATCCTGTCCGAATAGACCACGCACAGATTCGTTCAAAAGATAATATTTGGTTGCTTTATAACAGTGTTTCCAATTCTGGAAGAGTGCCTCAATTCATAATCAAAAATGTACAGCTCCAGTCAATACAAGCAACGCAATCAAAATGAGGAACAAACCAATATGACTGCCGCCAAGACTAAGTATCAAGTAAAACAATATAAACGTAGTTCAGGAAGAGACACGGAAACTTAGTGAAGGCGTAAGAAAAATAAAAACTATAATAAAATACAAATATTAACAACTCAAATGGAATAAAAAAGGCTAATGTAACGGAAAGAGAACAGTGAAAATCCCTCTGCAGCTTCTTTGTTGAACAGTATTTTCATTTATTTGTTCCTTCTCCCTTTTGTGTATTCCAACCTGTGTTTCAATCTCGTTTAACCATGCCTTTTTTCCTCAGTCTTCCCCGTTTGAGCCTTTTTAATGTGATTTTGATTAAAGACTTATTTTTGTTACCTAATTTTCTATTGCATGTTGCCGGACTATTGACAGTAAGGTTGTGTTTGACTAAGCTCAAGGTCACGGCGTGGTTCAGTTTGTGACTGTTAACCTTCTGACTGTCTGCTTGGGAGGATTGCTGCAATCCCTGCAGATAGATATTTGATCCCATCTTGTTGGGAATATTTGTGTTGATTCTCAGGTATCAAACCCATTAGTATTAACTGTCTCTTTCATTGTTTAGCGAGCTACTTTGCGTTAGAGAAACTTCTGACTGTATAGCACAGGCTGTACCGTTTGAGGTATTTTGTATTTTTGATGTAATTTGTTCTGTTTTCTTAATTAGAATCGTTTATATTGAGCACAGAGTTTGTGTCTTGATATAATATAATACAGAGGAACTTGGTCTGGTCTAACCGAATAAATTTTGGGTTCGTCAGTCCGTTGTTCCAACCGAATATTGGCTGTTCGGTCACTACAGCTAACAATGTATAACTAAAAGAATCAATAGGAACAAACTGCAAGTGTATACACGGAGGGATTTTCACACACGAAACATCCAAAATAGATCTTACAGGAATATTGTATTTTGCTCGATACACAATCTATTCTTGCGGAATCCGATCTTTTGAAAAATAAAATCTGTAATTAAATGCAAATATTAACAACTAAAATGAAATTCTGTGCACATGCTGAACACATTTCGACTTTTCAAATGATCTTCACTTCCTATCCCATACACATACAATAACAAATTCAGGTGAATACAGACAGTGTGGCAGCAGTCTCTACAATAGTAGACCTCAACATACACGAGTGAAAATGCAGCACCATCCAAATGAAACTTGATGGTGAATCTGTGGAAGAGGTGGGAGCCTCTACTCACCTGGACAGAATCAACCAATAACAAGGAGGATACAACGCAGATGTGACGGCACGAATCGGCAAAGCAAATGGAGCACACATACAATCGAAGAGTATCTGGAACACATAATAACTAACTGTCGGAGAACACCAAACTCACAATCTTCAACACCATCATTGAAATAGGTCTATTGTACTGAACTGAAACTTGCAGAACTACTACAATCATCACTGAAAATGTTCACGTATATATATGAATAACTGTGAATGGAAGATGCTCCATATCCATTGACCAGACATCATCAACAACAACCTACTATTTCAGAGGACAAACCAGATGTGAATTGAGGAGGACACAAAAAATGACGCTGTAAACGGAAAACCACCAAACAACATCGTAACATGGAATCCTGAATGGAAGTGGAAGAAGGGCAGACTAAATAACACATGGAATAAGGAATTGGAAGTAGACGTATGAGCACGAACAGAACTGCGAAGAACTATAAAGGAGAAAGTATTGCAGAGATTGTTGGAGGATCCTGGTCGATGGTCTTTACGGTGGTCCATGAGGAGTAACAGGAGTAAGCAAGTAAATAAGTATCCATTTTGATATATCTCCACACATTATTTGTACCTTCTCCTCTCTTTTTTGACACACTACAATCTTCCTTACATTGAACAATTCACACAGAACTTACTTTTTAAGCATGAAACATTGTTTTCTGTATAAATTCACCCTGACAAGATTAACGAATTATATGATGGTTTCAAATTCACTCCTCACTAAGTATGTGAGTACCTAAGTATGGGGAACACTTGCGTCATCCGTCACTGTTAGCACACAACAAGAATCGAGTTGTCGAATCAATCACTGTTTGTATGACGCACTCATCAGACAGAAAAACTAAATTCAATAATTAGTGAGGACCTAATACCATTAGTTCTGTCTTGTTGCCTACATTCTGAGATGATCATTTTTGGTTGTATAGGGTGATAGGGTACAGATTGAACTCCTTCATTCGTGTGGATTTACGGTTATTGTAGGTCACCTAGCCCACAACATATTTGTTCCGACTGTGTTTCTATTTTTAGTTAATAACCTATCGTTGACCCAGCTGGTTATTATAACTTGAAATGGTAGATAATTGTGCCAGTTAAACAAATTAATTGAAATGTGTTACTTATACATTTTAGAAACCATGCAAAACGGGGTTAATTAGAGCGATCTAAATCGCTTCTGCGTAAGGATATTTCTCTACCAGGGAGAATAAAGGATTTTCGCTCCGGCCACGAGCTTTTTCATAGAAGTTTTAATGTCAGAAACAGTCAAGTATTATAATTTCTTTTGATAAGACAAGAAAGATGAGACGCTTTAGAATATTGCTGGACATCCTGGGACTATCCAGACTGTGTATGGGAGTTGTATATCATCATAAATTCTATTAGTTATTTGAAAATCTCTTGTAACAAGGAAGATTCCCGTACTGTATAGCCTGTCCATCTTCAGGATCCTACTCCCAGTGAACATCAGTTTCTCGATTAAAATATACTAAAAAAGAGGATTTCTTGGAGGCCCTATGACATTTTTCCAGAAAATCTGTCGCTTAAAAAACTCTATCTAACACTTTGACAAATTAAGTATTTTGATATCTAAGATAAGATGCTGTAAATTTCCATTATAGTGGCTTTCTGGTCATAACTAGAGTTAAGTGAAATGGCTTACTTACTACGGTTTATAAAATTAGCATTATTTGTTGGTACCATGATTGTTTAGAGAAAGAGAAAAGGTGGTCGGTTTACGACATGAATTTCCAAGATACTGAACGGGTATTGATGTGAGTTGGCCTACCTCGACTTCCAAGACAAAGTAATAAAGATCGTCGATTCTAGTGACGTGAGATACCTGTTTAGCTGAATAGGGGTTGAAACAGACTAATGTTAAGGATTGTTTCAGAGAAGTCTTCACAAATAATAATAACCTAGAGATCATTAGGCTCTCTATTAGCACACTTTATTGGAGTTGAAGGAGTTCAACTTTACCTCACTCGAAAAATAAGTAGAACAGATTTAAGAGCAGATCATATGGTCAAAGCAAGACCTCTGAAATATCAAATCAAGCAGTGTGAAGCCAAAATGTCTGAGTTCAAAGTTATAAATAAACATGTTCACGAAGCAGGCAATTCCTCTCGGCAAGCACTTCTGTAGATATGAGCATCTGATCTCGACATAGTTTTAGTAAAGGTAACCAGCTAAAGTCACGCTACCAAATATCGAAGTCGTTCAACTTGCGAACCGCAGACGTGACTGGTATCGCTATCCTCAGAGCTTTAAGCTTAGTTACCGTAGCTTAGTCAACTTTCGTTTCCCATACCAATACTGTCCATTAGTTCATCGACAATAGAATGAGTGTGTGTACATTATCATGGTATATTTGTTGTAAGCTTGAACCTATGTGTGAAAATCGATCGCAAAATTTCTTTGAGCCTGGGTTAATTAAATGCATCTAGTCTCTAAACACTCAAGGGGCAACTCGTACATTACAAGAAAGAATGTGATCACTAAAAAAGGTATCGATTAAAGCCTCCTCATGCTAACAGGTCACTTGTATGTATTGGATCAAAACTCTACACACTTAAGTAGGTCGTACGAATGTAAATGCCAACTCTGCTGTAGCAAAACCCATGACTCGTAAAACAGGCTCACCATAGCTGGCTAAAAGAAAAAGTAAGTTGACTCCATCATGTTCAGATTACACACTTTATGACCAGTCACAGTAATCGATCTCTACACTTTCTTAGCTTCTATATTATTGGTAAAAGGTCTCACTATCTTGATATATAATTAAAAGTTTGCATACTTCACAAATGAAACATTGTACTTGCCGTTTCTTTTTAAAAAATTGAAGAATGAACAACAGTTGTCGTTGCTGTTTACATTTAAACCCGGCGTTTTAAAATGCCAGAAACACTTTGGGAAATTGCAGTACAGCAGAATAGAACTAAGTCAGGTACTTTTCCATAGTCTATACTCTTTACTAATAAAAAAGTACAAATAGGTACAGAAAACACATTAATTTTTGCTGGGAACAAAGGATCAGTAAGTATAATTATTTAGCATATTTGTTCATGTTTTCATCCCTTTACAGGGGAAAAGTACAATTATCAACCGATTTCTCGAAAAAGACGAAACTCCTAAATCTACTCTAGCTCTTGATTATAATTTTGGACGGAAAGGTGCCGGAAATTATCATGTTAGGTTTTTGCGAACTTATTCGTGACTTAGTAGACTCGAGTTGTGTCGCATATATGGGAGTTAGGGGGTGGTACCAGACTTTCAGATCTAATTGGTGTCGTAATGACATCCAATAACATTTTGTTTGTTACTTTTAAATTACTTAATAGCTCCTTCTATCACTTGAAGGAATCTTCACCTGATTTTAGTTATTGATCTATCCAAACCAGAGGAACTTTGGGATACTGTGGACACTTTGTTGAAGTCAGCTTCCGCTCGTGTTGATCAGATTCTAAACCGTCTCCACCAAAAAAACATAATGCGCATCCAAAATATTTTTGGTGAAAAGTGGAGAAACCGAATTCCACCAACACATCCTGACATAGAACTGTTGAACCCCTTTCCTTTGCCCCTCACATTCCTGGGGTCAAAACATGACCTTTTGATGGTATAAAATGATTTCATACTGAAATTCTTTAGACCCGAGACACTGAACAGCAGAATCTAATTTGTAAAACAATCCGCTTTCTCAGCCATTTTTATGGAGCGTCTGTTTATGTATGTAAGCTCAGCATCTTTTTAATATGCTACAGTTTTCCTCCACCAAAGAAGATGGGATACTTAAAAGAATAAGGGCTGTTCTCAATCACATCGCTTTCAATGGCAAGGACATAACCAACGTCCAAATGGAAACAGGGAAACCGTTGGCAATCCCAGTTGGTGTCGACTCATTCTCAAATATCGGTAATCATTACTTGATCAGCTATGTAATTTTTTGGTAAATAAGCGTTTGTAAATGTTGTAAATCACCAGCGTAGATGATCTATGTTGAATGATTGGGGGCCTACTAGAGTTGGAAAGAAATGGTGTGACGAACTAGCTAACGTCGAAGTCACACCTCACAGTCAGCACCTTACGTGAATTGCCCCATCGACGTATCAAGGTGCTAGAGATTCTTTGAAGACTGTACAACACAAAGGACGCCCCATGGGCCATTCCATGGCGAACGATTAACTGACGCACGTTGGTCGTCCTTGACCCTGACAGAGATTGATGATCGGTTCAATATCCGGGTGATTTGGCTAGGGCTTAGTGACATTTCACTGGCCCTATAATGTGTTTTGGTACAAAAACCAAATCGACAACTGTTGTAGGAAATAAAATTCTAAGAATTAATCTCACTCCATGTCAAAGGTTTGTGATACTGGTTTAATGTATTTATACTAAAAACCCCTTAGGTATTATTCTGCTAAAATAGAACTTTGTAAAATTTCAGTCCATATCGGTTAGTGGTGAGACTATAATTTATGGACAACCTTGAGCGACGTCAATGACCTTGAGACATACACAACGATTAAGCTGGTGAAAGTTCAGACAATCATGTGTAAATATTTCGGCCTCAAAGTTAAAACAAAAATCAAACAGAAATTATGAGTCCAAATAGCTTGAAAATGATGTATCACATATTCCAGGAGTAAATGAGATAAAAGTATAATATACCGACGACCTTGGGTTACTTATCAGTCACTCAGAAAACACGGCCTACTTATAAAACAATTAACAATGCAAAGTAATGAAATAACAGTGGAATAACAGCTTTATCGTAATAATTAACCCCCACAAGTCAAATTATCCCTCCTAGTGAAGACAAAACGGCAAATTTACATCTACATACTAGGAGTTAGTCTGGTACTTCGAGTTGAGGTTAACACCCTATGCATTTTTCGTCACCAACAGGCATCAGTTATAATGCAAAAAGGTTAGGGTTATGTATTAAGAATTAAACATGACTTTCGTGTTTGGTTTACAAGTTGGAGTTAAGGTTTTCGATACAAATTGGCATCAGTTATAATATAATGCCTTGCAATCTTCCTGTGTACAAACTTGGGAAACTTAGGGTTAAGATTTAGAATGACAGAGGAAAGGGAGAACATTATCTAGATTCACTAAACACTTAATTATCCAATGAATGACACTCAGTACTTTGACGCAATGTGTTATGTAATTTAGCTTAAGCACTATCTAATAGATATTTTCATTAATTTTAAACATTTTGAGGACTAAGTATTGCTAGTTTTTTTCTTATTAACAATAAAATACTTGTTATTAATCAGTACACTTTGAACTGCGTGCAAAATAATTATGGTGTTATCTTAATATAGTAGTATGTAAATACAAGTCTAAATATTCTCTACTGTTGGTTTACTTCATTGTGTCCTTTAAAATACAATTACAAACTAAATCATAATCCTTGTGAAAAAATGCTTTATAAATTTCAGGAACACCACCACATGAAAATATAGAAATAGGACGTCTTACTGCAAATTCTCCATTGGAAATGTGGAAAAATATTTTCTGTAGTAAATTTCCTCAGGTAAAATTTTATTTTTAACATTGATCATCTAAAAAAAATAATTTGATAATCTTAATTATATTCACATTAATATTCATGAAATATACAACATAATGACTTGTCTAGTTAGACATAAGTTAAACCAATCAGTAACATTTTATTTATATAATGTTGAGTTTATCATTGATTTGCTCAATTGGATCCAATATAAAAACTATAACTAGTCGTATCATTTAAACCCAATTGGTACATGTGAGCTGATCAGTATACCATAAAATACATCTTCAGAATTTAAAGTACTCGCAAAAACTATATAGCCTTCCTTAATTGTGTCTTTTATGTATGATCCAGGCGTGCCGTTCACTAGGTTTTCTTTGTACTGTAATTAGAAAAGGCCCGTAGATAGAATAAAAACCGAAATCAGACACTAGTCATATGGGTCCAGAAAATGAGAAAAGTAGGTCATAAATTAATTAAGTAATCAATTATGTCGTCTCACTACTTACTTTCCATATTTTACATCAAGAAATTATATTGGTTAGACAACCACTGATAACCAGGAAACATTCGACAACGTATTTTATTTTGGTATGGAACTCAGAACAACTATCAACCAACATCGAAATCAGAATCTTCAATACGAACATCAAGATAGTTCTACTGTACGAATCTGAAACTTCCAGAACTACCACAGCCATCATCGAAAGGTACAAGCATTTATAAACAATTGTCCACGTAAAATACTCACTATCCGTTGATCGGATACCATCAACAACAGCCTACTATGGAAGAGAACAGATCAGCTTACAACTGAAGAGGAAATTAGGAAAAGACACTTAAGGTGAATAGGGCATGCAGTGCAGAAATCATCAAACTGCATCACGAGGCATGTACTAATTCGGAATCCTGAAGGGAAGAAGAAAAGGGGAAGATCAAGGGACATATTGCGCAGAAAATTGGAAGCAGACATGAAAAGGATGAATATCAACTAGGAAGAACTGGAAAGGATTACTCGGGACAGAGTTGGATGGAGAATGCTGGTGAGCAGCCAATGCTCTATCTTCATCAGTTATCATAGTTGTAATACAGTATGCTGTGGAAATTCGATTGTGTTGGGTTTTCAAATCACTGAATGATAATAGATGCCACTCTAAATCTGATTTTAACCTAATCTCCACTACACTATTTACTATTTTAAGTATAGATCCCCCAATAAATACATTTTCAGGAAATTTTCACGATGCCGGGAGTTTGTTAGTCACAGTTTTAAACACCTTTGTTTTTGTACTATGATTATCATATTGCTTTATCCTCAAGTATGTTCTACAAATAACTAACACCTACCATAATACTTTAATGTAGATTATCTAAATACAATCATTCGTTAGTAAACATAAAACAAGTGACATTTTAAGGCTTAAGATATAGCTCGTTCAAAAAATACATGTAACATGACATTCGGTTAAATCTGCAGGTTACAACTAATTACCTTCAAAATGAACAATTGAACAATCCCTTCTTCCATCTCCATCCCACAGCATTTTATCCTTTATTAACCCGCTAGGATATTAGATCAAGTCTGGTCTTTGACTAGGAATAATCATCATTTACTATGAATATAACTCCTTATAATACATTTTAACTAACCTAGAATTACACCGAGAAAAAGGTCGAATGGTTCATAATAATTGGTTTAACAATATTATGGAAACTTCTAGAAGCTTTAATAATATTGAAGCAGCTACTTCATTGTTCAATAGCCAATTACTAACATACAATTACATTATCTTCAAATTGTATCTTACGAAATTATGCCACAGATATGATGAGAAGGTTGGGTTTTTTTTCTTCTTTTACCATAATTAACTTCTTTCTCTGTTACTATTCTTTAATTTCAGAAATCTGGATTAGCACTCTCATTGAGTAATATAACACATAATTTAACAGATCCAAGTAAAGATCCACAATATTCTGAACCACTTATTGATTCTGCTCGAAAAGTAAAAGATGAAGAGTTGGAAAGTAAACGACGTCAAAGTGAACGACATATGTACAATTTATTACAACAAATTACTTCAGAAGGATTAATTATTGTTTAAGTTTAATCTTATATTTTAAGTCCCACCTATGAGTCTATATGTGTGTGTGTTGTTTTAGTAAACTAGCATGCAAAATAAAAGATAATTGTCTCCAGATGAAAACTACCGTTTTACAGTTCTTTCTTTTTTTATTACAATACCTTCAATTTTACAAGATTAAATGTTATCCTGATCAAATATTTCCAAACAAATGAAGTTATGATCCTTATTTTGTCATTGTTATGTCCGCTGAACGATTAACTGACTAGTGTTTGGTACTGAACATCCTAAATCCGATTACCTATATTGAAAACATAAAGACAACTAACAATGATTTATTTCAATAGTTGAGATTATGAGTCAAATGAAGCTAGATCACCATGGAAAACATGGAAGCACTTAATAGCCGTTTCGTTCTTTTGTGGGACTCCTCAGCAGTACGCATCCACGATTCCGCCTCGCGAGGTTCGAACCCAGGACCTATCAGTCCCGCACACGAACGCTTAACCTCTAGACCATTAAGTTGACATTCAGTTGTGTTAATGTCTAAATTTAACTAATCCACAAAATTGGGCGACACATCCACCACTGTCTTCAGTGAGTTATTATCTCACAACAGACCGGGTTGATCTCGGGCATAAGTCAAAACGATATATATGAGTAAATAAACCACGTTTTATATGGTCTATTTACAGTTAGATTCGTACAATTTTAATTGAATAGTATTTATCATCAACTAATTACTAACGTACTAGGTGAACACATTTACAATATCATGCAATTAAGCATCTATAACCAACGATTAAAACCGATTGAACAATTTATATAATTACTTCCAAAAATATGATTTGGTCATAGATTATCAATTAATTTCATATGGGTCGGTCAGCAACAACGTAGATCTTCGTGCGTAAGTACGTCAATTCAAGTTGCCATACCACATTAGCACAGAGATACAATTGTCAATTCAAATCCCATAGCGGTAGACGTAGTAAGAGTATAAGTAATAATCGTAAAAATTAGGGTTTGAAGATGTTATTGAAGGAGTATAGTCGAGTGAAATAAATTTGGAAAGAGGAAAAAATGGACACGAAAAATTCAGAAGATTCGAATTTAAGAGAACACAAAGAGTGGATGCATCTGCGCCATTACAAACGATTTTAAGCCGTGTCATTCAAGGTCTCTAACGATTGGTTGCTATTGTCTCGCAGATCCCAACCAGATAATCTACACCTACCAACATGGTTCAGTTCACTTATCAGTGACTTCATGGATTCATGCCATGTTTTAGTCTGACCGCCCCTAGCTTTCTTCTAACTTACTCCTACACCATAAAACATCGCTCGTCGGGGCAGTCGGTGGTTGGGCATACGTAACACATTCCCCAGCCATCTCATGTGTTTCATATGAGAATCATACTCCAATAGACAAAGTCATTACTTTTTATATTATGTTTACCTTTCGTATTCTTTATGAAAAAAGGAAACCTGGAAGGTTTTCCTCTCCTATGAGAAAATATTTCTTGTGTATTTTAAAACGAATTTTATCATTTAATGATATTGGTGAATTAACTATCGGATATGATGGTATATCTACTAGAAATATGCCTCTTTAAATTTATCATCGGTGAATCAATCCGACTTCTCCCTTAAAATCAAAACTTTTGAATAATAAAATAATTAATGTTTCCTTAATTCCGTTTTAATAATAAAACCTCAGGAAAATTCATGGACCCATAATGCTGAAACTTACTTACTTACACCTATTACTCCTCGTGGAGGAGCATAGGCCGCAAACCAGCACTCACCATCCAACCTTGTCCCAAGCAATCCTTTCCAGCTCTTCCCAGTAGTTATTCATCCTTTTCATATCTGATTCTATTTCCCGACGTAATGTATTTGGCCTTCTACTTTTCCATTTCCCTTCAGGATTCCAAGTTGGGACTTGCCTCATGATGCAGTTTGGTGATTTTCTCAATGTATGTCTTATCCATTTCTATTGTCTTTTCCTAATTTCCTCTTCATTTAAAAGCTGATTTGTTCTCTCCTACAATCCCGAATGGTTCTCAATTTTTAAAAAATGAATAAACTGTCTTATACAGTTTTAGATACAATGTGTTGATCATAAAATATAAACTATTCAACCCCTACCTAGATTGCTTATTATAGAAAAATTCGTAGAAATACAAAGAGTAACCAATGCTTGTAAAAATCTAATTTTGTATATTCATGAATTCTTTGGCAATGGCTTAATATAACCAACAATTGAATTGTTAACTTGACTTTGAAAACAAGAGATTTTCCAATTCAATTAAAATGATCTGATCAGTTTGTATAAACATCTTAAGATCTAGTGTAGTTGTGCATTGCTTCGATTTATTTCCTTTTCACATCAGTTACAAAGCGGATAAAAAGATACAATAGTAGTATTTAAGAATATATACAAGACTGCCTATTATTAAACAACTGGAAACAGTGGAAATAAGCCATAGAATTACAAAATGCATAAGATCTACATCACATCAATTAATTTTAATTGTGACCATTTAACGTTCCTCTTTAACCATGGATTTATGTTGTATTATGGACACCAACTAGAATGATGGTGATATTTATTCTGCTTATAATTTCGAACTCTATTTATCTGTACCAAACATCGTCTATAAAAGTGGATGCCCCCTTGGTCTTCGTCTGCACGAACATAAACTAGCGGTCAAACCCCATGATATATCTTCATTTATATCAATGCATATGGACACATTCGACCGGAAAAACATCGAGACCTTGAAGAGAGGGAATACTAAAAGCATCAGAGAATTTCTAGAAGCTTGGCAACCAATCCATTCAGTAATCAACAAATACATTGGAATCTATCAATCAGAAAAACTATGGACAAGCATAGGACCAAGAATCAGATCAAAGGGATATACAACCAAAATAAGGAGTTAGACAATGACAGGTTACAGGTTGGCAACAACCAATTAAGTTCGAGGTCGATAGGACAAACTGTAAGTCAAATTTTAACATTTAACTTTTACCTGAAGCTTGTGCTGCTGCTGATGTTATTCAGAAGAACAATGAAAGCTCCACGACCAAACCGTCTAGCTCAGAGAACAAAGCTCCACCTAAATATATGTACTACTTACTAATATTCAATAGCTTATGTTATTGCCATTCATTTTGAAACGTGGAGCTCATTGTCTCCATTGTAATTTGCTGATATTCTTAAGTGGATACATACATTCTTGACGTTTTATTATTGTCGTTGTAAACTCATACTATTCTTAATTGCTTGTCTTCATTTCGTTCTTAGATTACTAGTATTCCATCATAGGTGTCTTTAAAGAATTTTTCGTGTATTTTGGGACCACATAATAAGCTAGTAGTAGTAAGTAGTAAGTTACGAATAAGGTACTATGCAAAGATGAAAAACCAGTTAATGAAGTAGTAAATCTCCAATTAAGGTGGTTGGGACATGTGTCACGTATGCCAATCACCGCTTACCTCGACATAGAATGTTGTCTGGTGTAGAAGTAGGAGTAGAAAATCTAAGGGTAGCCGAACCAAAACATGACGTTAGTCCCTCAAGCCAGTGACAATTAGATTGAGCCATGTCAATAGGCGTAGAATACCTGGTTGTGGTTTGTATGATTATCGTAACTTATGATTAAAGACTTTAAATGACATATCGCAAATTTGTTTGCAATTACGCTCGTGCATCCATCCTTTTTCTTCCCTCAAATCCTGAATTCCTAATATCTATATATCTATATATCTATCCACCTACGCCTACATGAACATCAATTAGCAGTCAAACGGCATGATATCTCTTCACTTATATCAATACACGTGGATAACTACGGACATTCATTCGATTGGGAAAATGTAGAAATCTTAGACAGAGGAAACTCCAAAAACACCAGAGAATTTTTAGAAGCTTGGCACTCAGGTCAATCAGCAATCAACAAACATATTGAAATCAATCCAATTTATCAATCAATCAGGAAAATCATGCATAAATATAGGAACAAAAGTCAAACCAATGGGAGACACAACCAAAACAAAGAAGTAAACAATGATAAATTTAAGGTCAACAAGAACCAATCAACATCGAGGTGCACAGAACAAGCTGTGAAACACATATGGAGAAATTCGAACACTTCACTTCTATCTGAAGTTTGTGCTGATGATGTCGTTAAGAAGAACGATGAAAGCTCCACGACCAAACCATCCAGCTCAGAGAACAAAACACCACCAAAATCTATTTTGTGTTTTCATATTTTCTTGAATTGTACTGTGACTACCTCTACTGTTCTAGGATTTGGACTGACTTTTCCATTTCTCTGTACTAATGACATATGATAACGTGAACCGATATACGTACACACAAGATTCCACGTTGCGACTGACTGACTGACTTTTATTTTGTATTTATTCATAAAAGCTTCTAGATTTGATATTGTGTAGTTTAACTGGTTAATTGTCATTACTGATTTGACACAAATTGGTAGTTGTACTCTATTTATCTTGTGTTTCTATAAATCACTTCTTAGTTAATTGTTTAAAAGGTTCACCTTCCCTCAACTTTTAACCTAAAATGTCATTAGTGCATTAGATACCTTATGGTTTAGGCTTGTAAACCATACTGTCTATATTGATTTTATATGAACGGCACCGTTTTTTTAAAGACAAATTTTGTTGTAATTTTGAGATTTGATGTGTCACTTAATCATCTGATCAAGATCTTTGGATGGATTCAATAAGCGATTTTGACTTCCTGATGTTTAGGAGCTTCTATTTTATCCAGCTCAGTTTTTGATTTGAAACAAATTATTGGTCCACTTTAAAACTTTGCACCCATGCCTGATTACTAAGATTATCAAATGGTATTCATAAGTGCTTACTGTTTAACATGATGTAGCTTCTATGAGATTTATTCAACAATTCTTATCCTGTCAGTATAAGATTAGCCCGAGAACACTATGCTACTGTGAAAAACAATAAAAGTCTAAAAACCTCGAA